TAGCCTATTCATGTTTGCCAACTCTACAGTGTCATAGTCATACAACAAGAGGCGACCAATCCCGCACCTTGTGAGCATCTCTGCAGCGACACTACCTACACCACCTATGCCCTGTAGCAATAAAAGAATGAAGCCAAAAATGGCATGAAGTTCAATTATGAAAATTTTACAATATCTGTTAAAAAATTACAAAAGAACATAATAATAAGATCAAAATGACAACAACCTGCAAAGAAGCTAATTAAATATTAGAATTTACATTTACAAGAAAGATCTTGACAGCCAAACATCTCTCTAATTCTCTTCTAAACCATCTTTATTCAAAGGCAATTATGTTTTCTCCACCACCAAACTTTGAAGTCCACGGGTGCTAGAGATTTTAGAAATTTTACAGTCTTTGCTTAAATGATGCAACCATATATATAAACCTTCATCACAATCATTGGCTGACTGATGGTATTTAATTCTTGTAACTAGGTAGATAAGGTTATTTTCAATAGGCAATCATTGCAACCTATTGATGTTTATTCTTCAGTTTCTATGTTGAAAACTGATAATTGCCTGAAACATGATGTTTTGAAGCAAGCATTACCAAAATCCAACAAGGTTCTTCAAAAATTTCACTCCTAGTATTCACCTTACCATGGGGCGGACTATTACTTACTCCAATGCATTAAATTATCAGCCCAATTGAAGTTCCTAAAAGCCAGTTAGACCATGATGAACTAAGCAATATTATTTACTAATCATTTTATATGAGTTTAGGGGAATGAATTTCACCAACATCTTGCATTCCGAAGAATCCTATAACAAAAGCAAGACAGGAAAAATCCAATGCACGAAGCTCCAGCATTAAGCGAGATGAATCTCTTACAATGTTGAGATGGCTAGAGATATAAAAGTGAGGATTTTACTCTTGCATTGTAAAATCACATTAGGAGAAAGGTTTACAACTGGGTAATAAAACTTTGATACGAGTACAACATCCTTTTTTTCCACTCTTATCCATCACTTATATAATGTTTAGATCAATCTCTGAGTATAAAGCTTCTGAAGAAATTTCAATCTTGGCAAAGTTACGAAAGATAGATCTACAGTCCACTCTATACTTTCAGTAGACAGCAAAGTTATGATAATTATTCCCAAATGGGTCTAGTAGGGCATCACTATCGGTTAAAGTTAATTTCAACCAAAAAGCAAGATAAATATGAAAAGGCAATGACAGCAGGAGCACGCACTACTATCGCAACAGAGAAATCTCGTATCCTTTCGTAGTTCTGCACGATACCCATTCGCTGAAGCGCCATCAGCCTACTGTAGGGGTTGCTATCCACAACCTCAGCGCTCATGTCCTGCGTACAATCACCCCAGCAAAATGAGATTAACGACGTCAAAGACAAACTTCTTTTCAGCACATGGCTCACATACGATACAGACCTTCACTTTGGATCGTCGCGTCGCCCCCGACTTCGTTAGGTTCACAATACTAACCACTCGCTGTTTCATCTAAAACAACAGAAACAAGAACCTAAATCAGTTGGTAAAAGCAAAGCAAAGCAAAGAGGGGCTTCGCGGTGGCGAGTAATCGAGGTTCCCCTTCCCAATCAGCACAAGTTATCTGAATCGGATGGCAATCGTAGTCGAGAATCGAGGACAAGAGGAGGAGTAAATCAGATCGAGATCGGCGAAGATCGAAAACAGGGAGATGGGTACCTCATCGATGGAACCGATCCGATAGCGATCGGAGACGCATCCCTTGAGAGATTCAAGATCTTGGAGCAGAGACCGCAGATCTTCCTCCATTCCGGCTCTCCTCGTCGCCCTCTCCTCCTCCTCCTCCCTTAACCGGACTATGGAGGAGCAGCAGATGTACCAAAAGGCGGCCGGATTCGCTTATTTATGTCCTCCAGCGTGAAACGTTACTTGGCGGGGTGAATCGGGTCATAGGTTACGCGCAGCGTCCGCTTCCGACCCAACAACGCAAGTTGCGAGTGGCCAGGAATGGAACTCTTTACCATGTTGGGACTTCGATCCCACGAGTTGTTATTTTTCTAAACGCAGCAGATACTTCAATTAATTAACTGGGACGTTTGATGTCACCAAAAATACAGATCTCTCCTCTGAGATTTGAAGCCTTGCATGGTTAGCAAGGTTGCGACCTGTCATGTTGACAAATTAGGATGGGAAATGTTTCTGAAAACATTGACCCTATTGGCCGGATGGGAAATATCGGCACATATGTTTCTGAAACAAAATGGAACAGTCATGGGCAGCTTTCACCAGTCTTTCCCAAATGGCCCAGATCTCAGCCTGTAGCGCGCATGCAGCTTGGTGGTTCCCTGCTGGTCCACAGAACAGCAGCCAGTTCCTGCATCAGACATAGAAGTAAGGAATGATCCATCGCAAAAAACATTGCAGGAATGATCTAAGGATGAGTTGCTTCCCTGTTCTTCCGGAGAGAAGGTTGGAGGTGGGATGTCCTCAGGCAGCTGGGGTTGGGAATCATTGCTCTCGAGGGATGACACAACTTTAAACCAAATGGTAAGGGGATGAGAATGACGGTTGCTGTACTTGATTTCACTACTGTTCTTCCAAATGAACAAAAACGATGTAGCAACAAGAGAAACAACTGAAGAAGAGACATGCTTTCCCCTATTCTCCCCCTCAAGGCATTCACCACTGGACCAATCATACAGTATTGATTTGCCACGATACTTCACCATGACGAGATTGTGAAGTTTCTTTATTGTTTGCTCGAATTGCTTGTCCGTTCTGATACAATAATATTATGAAGTTTCTTTATTGTTTGCTCGAATTACTTACCCGCTCCGATACCATAATGTCACAGACTTAGTTGGAATTACATAAGTCATGATGCATCCTTACGACAAAGTCATGAAATTAGTTGGAGTTGCTTAAGTTGTAAAGCACCCTTGCATCAACTTCTCGGACTTAACTGGGATTGCCTAAGTCATGATGTGCCCTTACGATATACATCCGTAAAAGATCAGCCAATTTGCAACCTTGCTCGGGTCCCATAAGACCTATAAAAAAGAGTAAGTTAATTAGTTCAAAAGCGAACGACAAACAAGTCCCGACGTCTTACGAAGAGAGAAGCTTTACAAGCAATTTAACAAACACTTTGAGTACAAAAGAGAAAAGAGAAAAATAAAAAAATAAGAACTTTAGAAGGCAAAATGAACAATCGCAAGTTCACAAACTGACTACTCACCGAGTGTCGAGCACGATGGCAACTTCCCATCAAGTTAGCAAGGACTTTATAAGAGTCATGTGCTTATTATACAGCCCTCTAAGCTGCTTTTGGGAATTTTCAAGGAGACTACCAAGGTTCTCACTAGACTCCATAAGACTAACCTGTTTGGAGACGACCTCAAGATTCTTCTCCAGGCAACCCACATACCTTGGGTACTGAGATGAGTGAGGCTGTTGTGCAGAAGGTTCATGGGGTTAGAGGAGTCAAAACTAGAGAACCAGGACTCCTTGACAACAAAATTAAGGCTGGGGTAGTCCAGCCAGTGAGGTTTTCTGCCCCTCTTTTTGACAAACTCCCTAGAAATCTTAATAAGCAAGGGCGAGTGATCGGGATTCAACACGCAGGAGATGGAAAACAGCAGCATAATAAATATTGGAAAACCATGCATTGTTAGCCAAAACTCGATCCAACCGGGCGGAAATGCAAGAAACCCCAAATCTGTTATTGCTCCAGGTAAAACGAGGACCACAGAAACCAAGATCCTGTAAACCCGAGTTGGCTGGGAAGTTTTGAAAGCCGAGAACTGACGCGTTACCAACGAAAGGTTTACCACTCAACTTGTCATCAGAGCTAGCAATGCAGTTTAAATCTCCGCATAAAAACCAAGGAATATCGTGTAAATTCAGTTTACTAAGGAAAGACCAAAGTTCATTCCTATGAGAAACTGTGGTACTGGCATAAACAGAAGCGAGAAGCCAGGGAAGCTTACCTTTTTGTTGCACAACAAAGTGAATGGCTTGGACATCCTTACTTACGAGTGAGCATTTGAGAAGGTCCTGCCTCCAAGCAACGAGTATGCCGCCTGATTTGCCTCTGGCCGGAGAGAAATCGCCATCCCAGCAGGTTCCCAAGCGCTTGATTCTTCTGCGACTAGGCTCTTAGAACTATATGTTGCTTCATGAACTATAATCATATTTATAGAACATAGTGGTAACTATCTCACTCTCATGTCACGCATGATTAAGGTAGTTATTGAAACTACCCTATAACTATAAGATTACAATTCCACGATAATATGTTCATGGTAGACATCAAATAAAGAAGGTAGAAAGCAACTTCCCTTGACGACTTTGTTTTTGCATTCCAATCTCTTTTTCATGTTCCTATGTTTGAAGTTCAAGAAAAGGATTGAGTTTGGGCGACTTCCTTGGACACCTTAACATTAAGGGTTTAAGGTTGTCAAATAAAAAAGAAATGATTTTCGGATTGCTCAAGATTAATACACTTGATATATATGAATTATGTATTTATGGCAAACAAAGTAAAAAATAATTTTTTATTGAAAAAGCATAGAGAGCATCTAATTATCTTGAATTAATTCATGCTGACTTATCGGAATTCGCCGTGACCGCTACGCAGTCAGTCTCGTGGGGCTCGGAGAGAGCTTTCCGGAATGGGGCCGCAATAGCGATTCCGAGTTCGTTCGAGAAAGTCCCGATGGTTTCGGGGCGCGCTTGCCGTGTCCGCTACGCAGTCAGTCTCGTGGGGCTCGGAGAGAGCTTTCCGGAATGGGGCCGCAATAGCGATTCCGAGTTCGTTCGAGAAAGTCCCGATGGTTTCGGCGCGCGCTTGCCGTGTCCGGTACAAGGTCGGCCTCGTGGG